CTCCCCGCTGAGCAGGGAGCCCTATGCGGGGCTAGAACCCAGGATCCCAGGATCATGAACTGAGCCAAAGGCAGACACTTAACCGACTGAACCACCCAGGGGCCCCTCAGATGTTTCTTTCTGTACCCATTGAGGTAGTCATATTAATTTTTTTTTAAAGATTTTATTTATTTGAGAGAGAGAGAAAGAGAGAGCACATGAGAGGGGGGAGAGTCAGAGGGAGAAGTAGACTCCCTGCCAAGCAGGGAGCCCGATGTGGGACTCGATCCAGGGACTCCAGGATCATGACCTGAGCTGAAGGCAGTCACTTAACCAGCTGAGCCACCCAGGCGCCCAGTCATATGATTTTTATTCTTCATTTTGTTAAAGTGGTATATCACATTTATTGATTCACATGTTAAACCACCCTTGCATCCCAGGGATAAATGATAAATCCTTTTGATCATGATGTACAATCATTTTAATGTGCTATTGAAATTAGTTTGCTAGTGTTTTGTTGAGGAATTTTGCATTTATCATCATGAAAGACACGAGTCTGTCATTTTCTTTTTCTTGTAATGCTGAGATATCTGCTGATATTCTATTGGGGGTTCCCTTGTATTGTGATGAGTTTCTTTTCTCTTGCTGCCTTCAGAATTTTCTCTTTGTCTTTGATTTTTGACAATTTCATTATTATGTGTCTTGGTGAAGTCCTCTTTGGGTTGAATCTGTTTGGAGATTTTATGAGTTTCATGTAATTTAATGTCCATACCTCTCTGCAGATTTGGAAAGTTTTTAGCCATTATTTCTTTAAATATACTTTCTGCTCCTTCTCTCTCTCTTCTCCTTCTGGGACTTCCTTAATACATATATTGCTCACTTGATGGTATCCAACTCTTTTTCATTCTTTTTTCTTCTTTGCTCCTCTAAATGTGTAATTTCAAATGATCTGTCTTTGAGTTTACAGTTTCTTTCTTTAGCTTGATCAAGTCTGTTATTGATACTTTTACATTTTTCTTTTCATTCATTATATTCTTTAGTTTCAGAATTTTTTTTGTCCTTCTTTATAATTTGTACCACTCTGTTGAAATTCTTACTTTGTTCATGTATTGTTTTCCTGATGTTATCGAGTTATTTATGTTCTCCAGTAGCTCCCTGAACTTCTTTAAAACAATTATTTTGATACTTGGTTAAGCAATTCATGGATCTCCATTTCTTTGGGGTCCGTTAGTGGAAAATTATTGTGGTCCTTTCATGGTGTCATGTTTCCTTGATATTTCATGTTTCTGGTAATTTTTCTTTAATACCTGTATATTTGATGAAGCAGTCACCACTCTCAAGCCTTATAGACTGTTTATTTACAGGTGAGCATGAGGGACCAGCTGGATGAGGTACAGCAGTTCTGCTTCCGAGAAGGGTACAGCAGCTGAGCTCAGCATCAATGAAGATTGCAGTGGCCTTGGTGGCCAGGACTGGTGGGATCTGCAGCAGTGGCTAGTGCAGTTAGGTGTTCAGTGGCAAAGGCTGCTGCAGTCCTCCTGATGTCTTTTTTTTTTTTTTTTTTAAGATTTTATTTATTTATTTGAGAGAGAGAGAGTGAGAGAGCACAAGCGGGGGGTAGCGACACGCAGAGAGAGAGTGAGAAGCAGGCTCCCTGCTGAGCAAGGAGCCCGATGCGGGGCTCGATCCCAGGACCCTGGGATCATGACCTGAGCCGAAGGCAGATGCTTAACTGACTGAGCCACCCAGGCG